ATTCAGCAATTCATGAGTATGTCAAGGATTTAGATGATTTTCAATGATTTAATCATTTATACCATAAAAAGATGCTGCCACATGCAGCTTCATATGCTCTTGATTTCCCTATTAGCTAAGGACAGTTTTTGGAGGGTCCATCTCTTGCAACATTCTTTAAATCTACATCTGTTTATATAGTAAAGATATTCTACATACTTACTTACAGGTTTTAAACATTTGCAATAGAGAAATAAATAAAATACATGCCTAAGTTTTACCCCCACTTGTAAAAATAGGTAAAAGAATGGCGCTGGGATGCCTGAATGGCTCAGTCATTTAAACACCCAACTCTTGATTCCAGCTCAGGTCATGAGCTCAGGGTTGTGAGACTGAGACCTGCACTGGGCTCTGTGCTGAGCATGGAACCTACTTGGGATCTCTCTCTCCTTTTCCCTCTGCCTGTCCCCCGACCCCCACCCCAAAGAATCACATGCCATCTCAGAAGAAATTGAGTTTTTATCCTCTATCTAATGTCATATTCTTGTTTTTGAATATATGCAGCTAAGTCAGAAATAAAATGGACTTACAAATACTCTTGCCTAATACAAATACTATTCAAACAATATGATAATAAGGAATTTGGGAAAGCCCACCCTAACTCCTGTAGCAGTTGCTCAAATTAAGTAGTGCTCACCCCATAAGTGATCATCACAAAGCTCAGTGTTAGCTTTAGTGGACTAAAGCAGTCCTTGGTTTAGTCAGAATTATAGCAATGAGATCTAGCAGCAAGAATAGCTAGGTATGATTTGAGTTGGGTAGTGAGTTATTTCTTGAAACGTATGCTTTTAACACAACCATTTAAAAATCAACAAATGCAGGAGACACATAATGGAACAAAATATAATGCATGAATCCAGGTTCATTAAACTAATGCATTTTTTGAAAAACAAAATATGACAGAATGTTTCATTATTGACGCAGATAGGAGAAAAAGTGTTATGCTGCTATTTAGAATGTGTCTTGTGTGTCGTGGAATTGAAATATTTCCAAATCATCAATAATTAAAATGATGAGAATCCATCATTTCACTGACATTTACTTCTACATGAAAAGATGGCCTATTTTAAATGTGCTCACACATATTCTTGTCAATCACAAGCTGTCACAGCAAATTATTTCATTTTGTAGATCACATGGCAGTTAACAGAAAATCTCTAGGTTTAAATTTAGATCTTAGGTGTAGTATCAAGAACACTTTTCATGGATTTTTTTTTATTTCTGTGACTACATCTTAGCAATTCAGTATATTAAAGATGTAAAATCTTATTCATAGTACTCAGTTTCACTTCTGGTTAACAAAACTCAGGACTGAAATGAATCACTGTAACTATAGCTCTAAAAGCCAGACAGTAGAATAGAATATAGAAAAAAATGAAAATATAAAACTAAAGAAAATTTTAAACTGTCAGAACTCCATACAACGGAATTTGGACCTAATAAGTTAGGTCCAAACAGTTTTTTTCTCTCATCTTAAGACATTTAAGCAATTGCAGGGCATATCTTATGCTAGGTTGGCACTGCTTACATTTTCTAGCAACTATAAAGGAGTTACCCTTTTATAAACCCCATGAATCTGATGTAGGAATTTTCATGGTGCCACCATTAAAGAAGATTCAGGAAATGGTGAATAAAACCTAAAGTGCATGCCCAAGGATCAGAAAACTTTTTAAATGCTTCTTTAAACAATTCATTAACTATATCATCAAAATTCTAGCAGAATCATTAATAGATTTCAGAATCTTCACCATTATTACATGACCTAATTAGACAGTTGATCTTCATCAACAGTCCTTATAAAAAAGATTCTATTTTTCCCATACATAATCTTCTGCTCAGGCATTTAACTTCAAAATGTAAGAATTATTCTAATACTGCATTTCAACAGGGAATGCTTCCTGTCAGTCTTGACCTTGGCTTGACCTCTATAAGAAAGCTTTGTGTTTCGAGGTATGTGATGAATAGCTCTCCGTCTTTCTATTAAATCCGGTGGCACTGACTGTCAACAGTGGTACTCAAAAGGGGTAGTAAGGTAGTTAAAAATCAGAAATGTTCCTTAGGACTTTTTCTATCCTAGTAAATCTGGGAATAGTTCTGAGGCAATTTTCATTATCTGCATTGCTTTTCCAAAGAATAAGAAAACCATGAAATATGAAAATATAATTGCCAAAATATGCATAGACTTCTTTGGCCCTCCTGTAGCAGAAATAATGTAAATTTTCCTTTGGAGGACCCATTTGACCTACATTGTTGAATAGGGTTCTCAGTTTTAAGGATTTATAACTTATTTACTCAGTTTATGCTCCTTAAAGACCAGGACTTCTATCCCTAAGTGAGGACTGCATACATAGTAGATACTTAAGAAAATACTTATTGGTTTACATTTAGATCAAATTGAATTAAACCGAATTTAATATCAGAGATGAAAGAATAATGATAAATAATGATAAAAAAGAAGTCAGCCCCTTTTTTTCATCTCTCTCTCTCTGAACTGGCCTAGTACCTGGCACATAGTAGGCTCTCAATGAATGTTTGCTGAATGAATGAAAATCTTTATATTAAAGTAATGACCAATTACTGACTCTAATGCCTGTTGCTTAATTGCATATAAAATATTCATGTTCATGTAGAAAGATAAAATAGTAACACCCAATTCTGCCAGCTGTTTTCCCTTTATTTACCTTTAGAATGCCTCCTTACTCTAAATTTATCTACCATCTTCGAAGCTATTCATACATGTCTTATTTTTAAGGTACACTCATAGTAAATTGGCAAATTATTGATTATCCATAAAACACATATAAGAAAGGTAATTTTAAACTGATTTGAAAAAGTCCATGTGAATGTGGGATATATATATATATGAAATCTCCCCACACTTCTCTCAAAATATTTAATTCAAATTACAGACTGTACTATGTATAGATAATACTTATTTACATTTATATTCTTAAGGTTCTGGAAGAAACCAAATATCACTCTTTAGGCTTATAGGTTTATCTTTGAGCTTAATTTAGACAAGTGGCTTTTTCCCTATTATACTTATCCTAGGTCTTTTTAATGGATATGTGATATGATAGTCTGTGTCCAAGCTTACCTACAATTTCTTTTCTCAAAAGACAAGGCACATCTGCCACCTGCTCTACTCTGTGTCCCAGCAACAACTGTCGAGCAGCATAAAGATTGATTATCAGTCAAAAACCATTGCACAACACCAGATTTTGGTGGGTTAAGCTTGCTGATCCAGCAAGAGATGGTGTGAAATTTTCAGGAGTGTGTGCCAACATTTTGGTGCTAAAAGAACAGCAGTGCATGTCACAGTGAAACACAGCCAAAGATATGCAGACAAAGCAGAGAAGTTTTTTGTTCTGGACTTGGCTTTAGAAAGAGTAAAAGAGAAAACAGAAAGTAGGAGGAAATTAGTTTGTACATTTAAAAATCATCTACTATGCTAGTCATGTGTGTAACACTGTTATTTTAAGCATACATGTCCAGGAAAATTTCTAAGAAGTTAACTATAAATAATTTTTATACATATCTTCTATAATACCATTATCATATGAAAGGCAAGTATTTCTTATTAATAAAAGTAATCAAGGATCTTAAGGAAACACCCATTAAATATACATTTAAAAAAATAAAATAGTCACAGAATCCTTTACCCACAAAGACGCATGCTTTTACAGAAGATGATTTATATAAATGATCCAATGAACACAAAATAAAAGCAGCCATAGTTTAAAGTTAAATCAAGATTTGAAAAATATACGGGTCTATTTTCTTGCACACGTAATTTTTAGTGAGTATTGTAGCAACAAGTTTCTTTACCTTGAACCAAATTACCTTGAACTTTCTACTAAATTCAGGAAATTATTTCCTGATGATCAAGTATTTTCAGAGAGATAGAAATCCTACAATCGTCTTATATAATAACATTAATAGAGGAAGAATTTTCATCACCTCATCTGTAATGAACTCCAGAATTACTTTTCTTCCACTTATGCAATTACTGCCTAGACTTGTCCTTGGTTCACTAGCTTTGTAGCAGTTGCAGAAAGAAAATACTTCTAATAAGGTATTAAAAGTATAGGGGAATATAGCAGTTAGAAACACTGAATTTGTATGCCGAAGTTCTTATGTCATTTAAATGTAATTACCATATACAGCACTTAATAACAGACTATGGTAGGACATGCGTGTAAGAATATTCCTAGATAGCATTTTCATTTCTTTCTTAAAATGCATTATTTCCCACTGAAAAAGGAAAAATATTTGTTTTATTTTAGAAAATCACATATCTGAAATGTTAGAAACAATGGACTTTTAAAAACAGAACTTACCAGCAAATATATCTAAAATACATGTTATATTTTGTGCATATATTATATATACATATAAATATAAATTACATATGTATATACACACATTGCAAGATTTAAAAAGTCAAGCTGCTGCATTTACCTTATGAAAAATTTTGTTAGGAAAATTGCATATATATATAAGAATTATGTGTTCACTCTGACTACATTTTCATAGCCATGTTAATGCTCTCTGAAAAAAGACCAAGAGTCTAAATGAATAAATGCTACTTGAAACTTTGAAGTATTTTCTGAGAGAATAAATCTAATGAATTATGTCTGTTGGGTGTCACAGAAACTAAACAGTAAATTCAATAATCTCTGATTTAATTTATTATATTTTCACCATTTAACCTCCTGCAGGCTCCCTAATGTCTATTCAGATCTATATTAAATTAAGCACCAATGCTAATGAAGGGCAATAAACGTGGCTGTCAGTGGATTTTTCTTTCATTAAGCACATTATCCTCTTACTGAGCTGCAAATGCGTAAACATTAGTTTTGTTAAACCATGCAAAAAAGACAGGATGAAAATCATTTTTTAATTGCACCCCTTAAGCAATTTACTGTGGGTGGGGGTAGGGTATTTTTTTTCTTTTTTACCTTTAATTTTTTTGAATGGATCTAAAAAGGGCTCTCCTGTTGAAACATAAACGTCGGCTTCATGGGGTATATCTTCAGGTTTGAGGGCTTCAGTGCCGTCTGCCAAGAACACTCGTCGTGCGGCCATGTTCAGATTCAGCTTTTTTGTGCACTCCTCCAGCAACTAGAAGACAGCAAGCAAGAGGTAAGAGAAAGTGATTTAGCACAAAGAAAGCAACACATTGCCATGAAACAAAAGGTGGTAACAATGAAAACAGACACCCATTGAGTCACTGGCCAAGTTAAGTAACTCAAGTAACTCCACCAATATTTTTTCTAGCACTTGAAAATATAAAATAAAAGGTAAATCACAGCACTGAGACAAACTAATGGTTGTCTAATTTTAGTCCTTATTCTGTCAGTTTAACAACTCCACAAGATACAAAGCTATTGTATCTGTTTAAGTCAATATACCATTTACATATCAATAAAAAAGAAAGGAATAAAATACCTGTGAGATCTATGTATATATAAGCAATTTACAGATTCATTACTGAAAAGAAAATTTTAACAATAAATATCATCTTTTTCATTTCTTAAATTATAAAAAGAGTAAGGGAAGAAATAAAGCACTGAAAACTTTTGAACACTATTTACCAAGGCGATGGTTGGTACTGTAACTTTGGTAAAGACTGTTCTAGATCCATTTTTGTAAGCTGTTACTGTAATCACTTCAGGATGAAGTTTGCGTCTTTGAGACAATCTATGCCAATTCTGGGCTGGCTGAAATTTTAAAGAGAACTCTGCAACTCTGAAGGAAAAACCCCCCACAAAATTGGTACGTTAATTAGTAAAAACATTTAAATAAATATTATCCTAGACATTTTTTATAGACATCAACCCTAATGATTGTTCTCAAGTATTCCTTGAAAAAACTTTTTATAGGCTAAGATTGTCCATATCTACTTAAATATTTTTAGAAATTTAACCCAGGATAAGTCTGCTAAAACTGTTCATGTAAAACACCTATCTGGCAATAAATGATTTTTATCAATTAACTTATAAAACACAACACTCATATAGAAAAAATTATATGTATACATGCTGTGTTCCTGTTAGAAAACAAAAAACAGTAACATAGTCCTAACAGCATGAAATAGTAAATGGCTAAGATCTTCCCTTAAGTTTTCATGTTTATCAAAGTTCTTTGATTTTTTAAAAAGATTTGAAATTCAAATACTTTCTTACTCTAAATTTCTTATTCTAAAGTTAGTTGTAACTGCCTTCATCTCAAATTTGTTTGCAGATAGAAAGGGAGGATTTCTAAGTTTTGTCTTCATTCAGAATCGCTTTCAACTCATTATCTTCTCAACAAAAGTAGCACATGGCAAATGACTAGCATGTCGTATTTTTTATTTCAGAGTTCTCTAACTAAACCTGTTAATTCTTAATGCCACAGAAACAAAGTAAACATTTTGAAATAAAAACTTTAGGTAAATTAAAATCACAATATACCCGCCTAATCAAACATATGAAAATAATGGGAATATCAGTCTCTTGGTTTGATTTTTGCGTTTGCCAACATTTTCTTCTATCCATTAATTCTCAGGTTAACAGCTTATGATAACAATCTTGATGTGAAAATATATACACAAACTGGTTTTATGAGTTTATTTCAATTTGATTTTATTGCAAAATACTGATTAAACACCAAAGTATGCATTTCTGTTTTAAACAAATATCTGGTAAACAGATATTTTTTATAGCCTAGCCTGATTCTCCTTCAAGTATTTTTTGCTGAGTTTCATATTATCCACATTGAAGTGTACTTCATGTTTTCCACAAGTGCAGTTAGCAACATTCTACTCAGGTGCTTTCGAAGAAAAAAATAAACAAAACAAAAACAGAAACAAAACCCTAGAGATGTGTTACATTTTACTGTCTGAAATAGTCAACTGAATCATTATAAATTCTGCTCAAAGGAAAAAGCTTCAGCAGTCGGTTAAAAGAACAGAGAACAGCTTTGATTACCTCAGTTGACCCACTGGAGCACTGACAGGTCTGTTTCTCTTGGATGCTGATATAAAACAAGAATTGTTTTTACTGTTTGATTTGTAGCGATATGGGTCTGATATTTCATCATGGCTATGATCTGATGCTGTTTGATGTGTGGAGCAATCTTGAAGTCCTGACCCTTCCGATACTGCCGCTGAATGTAAAAGTCTGTTGGGGCCAAACTGAGGCGGCAAATAATCTTCAGTAGTTTTAATAACTGCTTTTGCCTGGGATGACATAAACTCTCTGAAAGAAACAATTCCATGGAAGAATACAGTGAATTGATTTGTAATTACTTGTTAACTACCCCATGATTGCTTGTGTGCTATGTTCTAGACAAAATACTACACACTTGGTCATTACTTTGTTAAGTCCTTACAACATCCCTGGAAAGTGGGCACTATCTGTATCCCCATTTTACAGATTTAAGAAACTGTGGTTCAGAGAGGCCAATTAACTTGACAAAGCTAACATAATCAGGAAGCTGACAGGGTGGGAAACTGAACCTAAGTCTATACTAAAATAAAGCCCACATTCATAACCATTAAATTGAATTGCTTTACTCTATTAAAGAAGAAAGCTTGTATGATGCTTGAAACAATGCAACTAAAATTTTTAAATTCTCAGATTTCACTTATTAAAAACTAGCACTCTGCTTAGTACTAGGAAATATTAAAGTTAAAGAGATGTGGCTTCTACCCTCAAGAAACTTGCAAACTATCCCCTTATAAAGAGAGAATAAATGCTAAGTAAGCCACTTAGAACTATGGCTTTGTATTAACTATAAATGTAAAATGAATTCCTTGAAGGCAAACTTACATTGTCTGGAATAAAATTGATAAAGGCTTCATAGCAGACTGGGATTAGGGTGACCAACTCATCCTGGTTTGCTCAGGGCTGCCCTGGCTTTGGCCCTGAAAGGCACACACCCCTAGAACTCCCTCAGTCCCTCAGTCTCACACAATCTGGGATGGCTGATCACCCGAGCTGGTGGTTAAGCTGGAGGAACAGCATTTAGATGAACTATGATGTTTGGACAGGGGACCATAGGACCTGTGACAATATCTAAATCTATGTAAATGCCAAATTAGGAAGATGGAATATATGGAGAATTTGCTGGTATGATAAAATGAAACAAGCTTTAACATAGTTAAATTTTTATTTAACATATTAAATAACATATTAAATTTAATATTTAACATATTAAAGAATATTGAGCTGTGTGATGATTAGGCATAGAGGAGAGCAAGCTTCCATGTATTATTTCAGTATTCCATGTATTTGTTATTTGTATTTTTATACAAATAAAATCTGCTTCTATCCAATTTGCTGGTTCCTCAACAGTTTTTTTGTTTTTTTTAAAGATTTTATTTATTTATTTGACAGAGATCTCAGGTAGGCAGAGAGAGAAGAGGAAGCAGGCTCCCTGCTGAGCAGAGAGCCCGATGTGGGGCTCGATCTCAGGACCCTGAGATCGTGACCTGAGCCGAAGGCAGAGGCTTTAACCCACTGAGCCACCCAGGCGCCCCTCCTTAACAGTTCTTATACATAATGTAATATAACCTCACCCAACCGTGCAGTTATAAAATAGCATATGCTTAGTGTGGAAAGCTTGGCATAGCCAGCCCTTCTCCCAAACTTTTCAGATCCACCAATGTCATTATAGTCACAATTATTTCTTCTGGTCTGTCCTCTCTACATTCACAAATGTGTAAACTGGCTGATTATTTCTTCTGAAAGAATGGAAGAAGGTCAATGGCCACAGGGAAAATTGGTGTAGGTGTGTGGATGAGAGTTGACACAGTGGATCAGTAAAGCTGAAACACTGGGATCCAAGCAGTTGTGTTTGTTGTTATCACATTTCTATCCAAGTCTGTCTAGAACTGACCGCAGCTCTAAGGAAAGGAGTGGTCTTCCCTTCACTCTGAGGATCTAACCAGGTTCAGAACTTTGGCAAACAGCCTTTTGAATTAATTGTTGGACTTTAGCTCTGGCAGTGGTGAGACCTCCCTTTGGGCCACCTGGGCTACCTCAGATTTTGACACCAGCAGTCGTGTCTCAGTGCTAGTGTTCCTGCAGCGAAAGCAATGGAACTGCAAACGGCCACCAAGCTCAACTTAGGGGAAGAGCAGTAAACAGGCAGGAGGAAAGATCTGCAGATCTCATAAACAGTTCCCAGTGCCCATAAAGAGTCACTTGGAAAGCAAATTCTCATGTAAAGAAAGAAAAGGAATTCTCTACATAACGCAGAATGGTGTCCTTTCTTAAAGATTTTATTTTTTTAATTTTTAAAATTTTAAAAAGATTTTATTTATTTGAGAGATAGAGAGCACAAGCAGGAGTAGGGGTAGAGAGAGAAGACGACTCCCCTGGAGCAGGGAGTCCAACTTAGGGCTTGATCCTAGGACCCCTGAGATCACGATCTGAGCTGAAGGCAGATGCTTAACTTACTGAGCCACCCACGGGCCCCAATTTTATTTTTTTAAAGTAATCGCTATGCCCAATGTGGGGCTTGAACTGATAGCCCTGAGATGAAGAGTCACACGCTCTTCAGTTGAGCCAGCCAGGTATCTTTCCTTTTTAATTAATGCATTTTGTTTATTGTCAAATATTTTTATAAATATCCTAATGATTTTATATAATAATCCATTATCACACCACTGGAAAGTGAAAGTTGTTGTTGTTGTTGTTTTTCTTTTTCCAAATTTCAAAGTTTCAACTGCATTGATGGGAAGGCAAAAGGCAAACTGAGGGCAAAACTGGAGCTGACACCCCACAAAGGCCACCCCCCTTAGGGTAGGATATGTCTAACATTCCTCAGGCACTAGTGATGGTCTCAGAACAAAGGTAGGGAGAAACAAACTGTCAACTGATAAAGATCGCAGTCATGTAGGATGTGAAACTCCACTATTGTCTGTAACTGTCTTAACAATTTAGAAGAAAACCACAATCTTAATAACAGCTAGACCACCAAGAACCTATAGACTCAATTTCCTGGAGCCCTACTGTCACCTTCACCTCCACAGGATAGAAAACCCTATATAATCAGTCACTTCTCACAATTACAGCACAGCTCTCTCTGCTCACGGATCCTGTCCCAGTGCTCTAATAAAAACATCTTTTTGCACCATAAAATGCCTCACGAATTCTTTCTTGACCATTTTGCTCAATGACCCTGCATCATGTGTCATACCTTTAATTCAGTATCTTGCTTTTTTTTTACCTAAATACTGTCTTATAACCATTTTTTAAGCTGCTATAAGATCTTTACAGATTTTACTAAAATGTAAAATTTTATCAAATAATTCTACTTATATCTTGCCTTCCTTAATCTAGTCATGTAAAAGTTAGTGTTTTTGTCTGCTGGCATATCTTCCCCCTAACTTCTTGTAAGAGCATGGGCATCCTTTAGGGAAACTCACATCCTTCTCCCTCCCAACTCCACATGATTCTGGTAGGGTTAGGACAATAAATTATATAAGATTTACATGGTAAATGGTTAAAAGAATTAAGTTAAATATAGGATTTTACCATATTTATTTATTATCGACTTTTCTCCAGTAATTTATGTCAAAAAGGGGGAGAAAAGGTAGGGTTTTTTTTTTAAGATTTTATTTATTTATTTGACAGAGAGAGAGATCACAAGCAGGCAGAGAGGCAGGCAGAGAGAGAGAGGGAAGCAGGCCCCCTGCTGAGCAGAGAGCCAATGTGGGGCTCGATCCTAGGACCCTGAGATCATGACCTGAGCTGAAAGGCAGAGGCTTAACCCACTGAGCCACCCAGGTGCCCCCAAAAGGTAGTTTATTATGTGAGAAAGTTACTTTTGGCCCACCATCTGTAATCTTCAGTTTTGATTTGTTTTATCAATGTTGATGACAGGTTTGCACTAGTTCTTACATACTATTAAACTCTTCTTTCTTATAACAGTTGATGTGTTGCCTAGTCTTTGGGTGTGAGAAGATAATCACAGAACTGTTTGGCAAAGCTAACTTGTCCTACAAAGGGAATTAAACCCACACACATGGTTTGCTAAATGAATGCTGGAAATGAGGGTGTGAGGACAATTCACCTCAAACACATTTGGGTTTCAAGTGACTGAGCTTGTTACTAGTATACACAGAAAAAAAGAAAATAAAAACATTCCAGCAGGGCACAAAGAGAATTAAAAGACCACTCATTGCTCTTCAGAATATACTAGTTTAATATACTTAAAAACAACTCCCGTACAAGTGCTTATTATTGTGATAGCATTGTATGGGAACAGATGGTAGCTACACTTGAGGTGAGCATACTATAATGTATAAACTTATCCAATCACTACGTTGTACACCTGAAACTAATGTAACATTATGTGTTAACTATATTCAACTTAAAAAACTGAAAAACAAAGACCCCTGTCTGGCTCAGTCACTCTTGATCCCCAGGTCATGGGTTTAAGACGCATGTAGGGCATCAAGCTTACTTTAAAAAAAAAATTACAAAACAACAACAAAAACCACAACTCCAGTAGAGTGCCACATTTTTTGACTCCGCAACCTCATCTATCCTTCTGGGCCTAACTGCTTCCTCTTCTTACATCATTATTGCCTAACCTACCTCTCTTCTCCTCACTCCTCATGGGTTCTGTTAATTCCTCTATGTATCTCCCCAATTCTGTACCACACTACTTTCTGAAGACTCTCTATGACTCACATTCAGTGACCCCAAAAGTTTAACTACATCATTACCCAGGTCAGGATACCATGTTGGCTAGACTTCTTAAGCTAGGCAATTTAGTAAGTCACTGGTAATCCTATGGATGGCAAAGTACCTGTCAGTGGCCCAAAAACTATGGACAGGAGAGCAGAATAACAACATGCAGAGGGCTTTGAGTAAGATGGAGTCTCAGATGCATGCAAAGAGAGGTAACCATACTTGGCAGAGGACTTGCATGGCCTGTCTTGTATACCAAGATAACAAGAGACATTGTATCGTGAGATTGGAGAGGCGGGCAAAGGAGGTAGCACTACACTAGCAGCAGTGAACCAGTGGTGCTCTTTAGTAGACTAAAGTAGACTAAGTAGACTACTAACTCCATGTAAACTACATATAAGTTACCATAATTGTAGTCTCCCGATTTGTCTTTCTTTCTCTTATTCCCCTCACATTTTTCTTTGAAAGATCTTTTTGCTTCCTTTGCAAAAATTTCTTAGAAATCCCAAGACATTCAGATTTATTAAAGTGAACTTCCTTTTACCTCCATATTT